ATTCCCATACGGTACTGCCTCATTTCATGTTCTCATCATTTGTAAACTAGATTTCTGGGTTACCACAATTTCCTAACTGATCCACATACTTCCAGCCCTGTCTTCATACCGCATGGTGTCGTTTCTCATGATCACCCAGTTTCTGCCAGTCACTTGCATGGGAGTCTTCATTCTCTTTTGTCTGTCTGACCTTGCCACTCATCTGCTCGTAGACCACATTGCTCCTCGGTAAATTACATGCAGGATTCTTGGCATGGCAGACATGAGACTGCACATCTGCTGCCTTCTTTCCTGCCCAGCCTGATCCTCCCTCCTGATCTCTTAAATCAAAATATCACTTGGTGGAGTCCAGGAAGACACATTTTTAAAAAGCTCTCTGGGCAATTCTCATGTATGGGATCCATTGATAATTATTTGGAAACTAGTATTCCAGAAGCTCAATAGGATGCCATTTATGTCTGAGTTTTCCTGTAATCAAGCCTCAGGAAAGGATGCATCATAATGTATTTCAGTTACTGAGCCCCCTTGGGTTGGGTCCAAGATGGAATTCTGTTATGGTTAATTCTGCATAAAAGATTTTGTTTATAGTTAAACTACGGGATATTAACGTTGCTTGTACCTGAAAAGATTGTGTGTGGTAAGCCTTCCTGTGCACTAAACCAGTCATGTTATTCCCCTGTCTTAATTCAGGGGCAGCATACCTCCTTATACCCAAGTCTTAATTTAAGAGGAAGAGAAAGGAACAGGAAATAATGTGATAAGATATAAGAACAAAAGAAGACTGCCCCACAAAATAGCACGGCAAAATAGCACAAATGGGAAATACTAAGTTGCCAAAGTTTAGGGAATTAATGATCATGTGTACTTGCATATTTTATAATTTTACCATCAAACATGAGTTTTTAATAATAAGGAAAATGCTGATTCTGTAATGTTCAGGGAAATGTCAGGATGCAAAATTGTTTTTGTAATCTCAGTCATGTAAAGTATGTTTAGAAAAAGAACACTTTGAAATACTGTATTAAGTTAATATTGCTTCTCTCAGGGGCTGAGATTATTGGTTTTTAATTTTAAAAAAAAATTTCTCATCCCAATATTTTAAAAATTTTTTGAGTTCACAGATAGTATGTTTGGAATCAGAAAAATATAAGCTAACTTTTGATTGTCATTGTTGGAGTATAACAGGAAGGGATATGAAAGTGATAGAGAAGTAGGCAAAGGATGGTGGGGAGGGAGGGAAGGCAAAAGGGGAGAAACAGAAATAAAAGAAAAGGAGAGAGAATATGGGGGAGGAAAGAATATGGCCGTAGGGCGAGGACATACTATGTCTGAAGTCTGAGGACACATCTTTTTAAGATTCCATCTTCACATCGGGGCTTCTGACTCTTTCTTTCTTTCTTTCTTTCTTTCTTTCTTTCTTTCTTTCTTTCTTTCTCTCTCTCTTTCTCTTTCTTTCTTTTCTTTCTTTTTTCCTTTTTTCTTTCTTTCTTTCTCTCTCTTTCTTTCTCTCCTTCCTTCCTTCTTCCCTCCCTTCCTTTCCTTCCTTCCTTCCTTCCTTCCTTCCTTCCTTCCTTCCTTCCTTCCTTCCTTCCTTCCTTTCTTTCTTTCTTTCTTTCTTTCTTTCTTTCTTTCTTTCTTTCTTTCTTTCTTTCTTTCTCTCTCTTTCTTTCTCTCCTTCCTTCCTTCTTCCTTCCCTTCCTTTCCTTCCTTCCTTCCTTCCTTCCTTCCTTCCTTCCTTCCTTCCTTCCTTCCTTCCTTCCTTTCTTTCTTTCTTTCTTTCTTTCTTTCTTTCTTTCTTTCTTTCTTTCTTTCTTTCTTTCTTTCTTTCTTTCTTTCTTTCTTTCTTTCACAGGGTCTTGCTCTGTTGTCCACGCTGGAGTGTGCAGTGGTGCAATTTTGGCTCACTTCAGCCTCAACCTCCTGGGCTCCAGTGACCCTCCCTCCTCAGCATCCCAAGTAGCTGGTTCTACACGTGCACACAACCATGCCTGGCTAATTTTTGTTTTTTATTACTTTTTGTAGAGACAAGCTCTCCCTATGTTGCCCAGGTTTGTCTCGAACTCCTGGGCTCAGGCAATCTGCCCACCTCAGCCTCCCAAAGTGCTGGGATTACAGGTGTGAGCCACCATGTCCAGCTAGGACTCCTGATTTTCTAAGCAGCCTAGTACTCGATCAGAAGACGCTATAAAAAGACTGCCCTTGTCTAATGCACTGGTATTCTGTATAATGACATGTGCAAGCAGTTGCTTCTTTTTATCATCAGTATTGAAAACAGCAAAGAGCTCCTGGATATTACTTCAAAGTCATTTGCATATTGGTAAATGAGTCACAAGATGGCAAAGCTTGGATATTTTAGGAAAATATTTCCTTATATCCCTTCTGCCTCTCTCTACTGTCCAGAGTCCTCTCAAATTAATCAAAGGGATAGGAAACTCCAATGCTGCGGACCAGGATAGTCCTTTGTCCCCAGGGTGAGTCCAGTGCTGAGCTGGAGAGGGACTCCAATCATTGTAAGATTGGCGGATGGATTAGGCCATGAATATGCAGAGGCAGGATGAAGGGAGTGAGCACCCAATCCATAATGAGTGAATTACAATTTTAAAATGGAGTGAATTAGATAGTTATTATCAGTGTAATTATTCATAAATGTGCCTAATTATTCATAATTATTCAGAAGCCTATTACTTCCCTGATTGCCATAAGTGATCTCTGAGGCCAATTACAATTGGATTCCGGTCACAGGACTCAGTGACTATTACCCGTGTGTCTTGGTGAATCCGGAGCTTGGTCTCTGTCCTAACAGCCCTTTGTGTCATCTGGCCCTTTAAATACACACAACAAACCCGTTGCTTTAAACCCAGCTGATTTCAAAGCCCCCATTGTCTTTTTCCCCTTTCCGGTCCCAAGCTCCACTTATTTGGGTTCAGGCTGTTCCTTCGAGGGCACACACTGCTGCTGTTTAATTAGGACTCTCTTGTTGTCATTCCTGCATTTGATATCTTAATAGCATTGAGAGCATATGTAGGGAAATAGGCAGAAAGGAAAGTACCTTTGTGCACATAAAGGTGATATGGAGACGCCAGAAGCCCTGGAAGACTCGGCCCTGCTTTAGAGGTTGCACCGTCAAATCAGTGGTTTGAGATTTTCTGTAAATCTTGAGGCCTTCGTACACAGGTGAGGGAATGCAGCTAGGTTTAACTCAGTAGGCTACAGCTTGCCGCCTCTGATACTCTTCACGCTTCTGAGGATCGTTTCAAAATAGTGTGGCTTAGAAGAGCATTTCCAATTTTTCTAGAATGATTTCATCCTGACCTCAGTGTGACCAATTGCTGGATGTGGGCTCCGGCTTGATACCCCGTCTGTGCACAGCGTCTCGTGACTGTGCAGGCATCAGCGCTGAAGCTGTGGCTCAATTTCTACTTTTTTTTTTCCTCCTTGGAAAACATTACGGCAATTACCATATTGTGGGGCGGCATTATCAAGTGCAAATTAGCATATAGATTAGTTCTGGGGGGCAGGGAGGAGAGGTGGGTTAAGAACTTTAAAATCATGTATCGTTAGGCTGTGCAAAGAGTGGCATGCAGAAATCTTCCAGGCCCTGGTCGACCTAACCCTGTGTGTCCATCAGCGGATCTGATGGGTGTCAGCTGATCATTTCTAGGGGAACAAAGACAACTCAGTTCTGACTGTAGCTGAGATACACCTACAAATGGGGCAGTGTAAGAAGTGGCAGAGCTGTTGGTGGATTTTAAGACTTTCATCTGCTTTTTATTCTTGGACAGAGAACCCCTGATTTGGTTAGTAAGAACTCCCTATAATTAATTGGAGTCACTAAGTTCACATTTTGCATTTGGTCCAAGAAATGAAAATGGTTAAATTTTTGCTGATGGGATAAAAAAAGAGTATAATCTAGAATTGAGACTTTTAAAAAGATTGTGGCAAAAGATAGGAGGCAAAAAGGAGATTCATTTCCTACCTTCCATCAGAAGAAAATAAAAATAGATTTATTGAAAAATAAACATGTAAAGAACCTCCTTTATTTTTCTAAGATCTCCAACAGTACAGGAGACTGGTTTAGAAACAGTCAATCCATCACTTGGTCAAGTGTTTATTGATAATCTACTATGTACAACACTATGAATGGTACAAAATATAGGATATGGAACTAATCACCAAAGTTCACACATACAATCCTTTAAAGAAATGGCACAGAGGATCCCTATTGGCTGCTATGGAAGAGTTCAGGGAGAACTTTGAGGACTAGAGTGGTCAAGAAAAGTTCAACAGGATTTGGGAGCTTCCTTGGCCACAAAGGGTAAGTGGGGTGTGAATGGGCATTCGTGAGGATATTCCAAGCCAGGGTGATGGACCACAGTCCTCAAAGGTCAAGGGCAGTGTGAAATGGATGGTTTAATGAGGAGACAAGCCTGACAGAACAGAGGGTCTACATGGAGGTGATGGAAAGTGTGTAGGAAACAAAGGTATGAGATTAAGGCAAATGTCTTAACCTCCTTCAACCTCAGTTATCTATTTCATTTGAATGGATCTAACAATAACTTCTTTGAAAAATGATCATGTAATGAGATCAATTATTTTTCTATATGCAATTTCTGGCATACAGTAAGCACACTGCCTCTGCTAATTATTTAGTTAAATGTGATATTGCTTAATTGAGTTAGATTTAAAACCACTTAGGGTCAGTTCAGGGCCCAGTGTTAAGCATTCAACTTTGTGGCAAATATTGTCGTTCAAATTAGCAACAAATAAAACATGTTTTTTAAAAAAATAAACACAATTCCTCGGGAGAAAATAACACCCCAAATCCTTTTTGGGATCACCTCTTCAGCTACCCTGGTTGGGGGCAGGCTCCGATTGGGATGTAGGAGAAACTGACCCAGGAAAACAAAAATAAAGGATGTGGACGTGGATGGGTGAACTGGGAAGACTGATGAACCGGAAGGAATTGTGCTGAGATTTATTTTTCCACAGTGACTTGAAAGGATAAAAAGCGGAAGAACACGGCCGCAGAGCCTGATGGGTCTACCTGGCTACCAAGCAGAGCGGGTCAGCACGGCGGCTTTGATTACTGGAGACACTACACATTTCATGGTACATTGGGTAGATTCTAAATCCTAATCTGCTTCCATGAATGGTCAAGGTACGGATTGTTCAATGGGGGATGGACACAAAAGAGCCACGTACAAATGTGTAATTGAGCACGACGTCCTGAGTCTCAGCCCAGCATCCTCCACCATTCACGGAAGGAAGGCCCACCAACGATGCACTCCCTGGACCCCGAAAAGTCATTGAGGTGTATTTTTTCATATCTCCCCCACCCAGATCCTCCAAATGCTGTGAGAGGCAGGAGAAGAAAAGTACAAGGTCTTCAGTCTTGGAGAAAAGTTCCTGACACACAGTAGGTGCTCAATAAATATTTGTGGAAGAACTGTTTGTTGAAAAAAAAAAATCTTCCCTTTTACCCAGTTTGAACCCTCAGGAACCATAGCTTTTATTGGCCTGTGTTGATTTTTCTTATCTAGTTTTGAATGTTTATTACTGGTGTCACAGTGATTTTTCCATCCCGTGAAAGTCTTCTCCCTGTTGGATTTTGAGCTGCTGCAGGACTTTTGTTGTTGTGTCCTCTACAGTGTCCAGCTCTGTGCTTTGCTTAGTGCCTGTACGTGCTGAATAGTGACTGGGCAGCTGTGATCCAGTAGGATGGGCAGTAGGTTAGGAATAAGAAAATACCAGTCTGTCTGCTCCGACAGGCAGCATGAGAGTGAGTAAGCCATCACCTCTCTGAACCTCAGTTGGGTCACATGTAAAATACGGATAATAATTCACATCTTATCTATATAAAAGGATCAAACAAAGTATTTGTAAAGATTAAATATATCACTGTACACTAAAGTATTTCAGCAATGACTTTTTGCATTTGGCTGTGACTGCACCACCCATACGTTATCATTTTTATACTGGAGGCCTTCCCATTCTGAGGGGAGATGGATCCGCAAAAGCATTAGTGGGATAGAGGTGAGCTGATACTGGTCTCTTGTTTGCTTGCAGCTGAAATCAGACTAGACCAAAGCCAGGAGAGCTTGTCTCCCCTTCTGATATTGTGTAACAGGTGACACTGTTTTTTTTTTTTTTTTTTTTTTTGAGACGGAGTCTCGCTCTGTCACCCAGGCTGGAGTGCAGTGGCACTATCTTGGCTCACTGCAAGCTCCACCTCGTGGTTTCAGGCCATTCTCCTGCCTCAGCCTCCCAAGTAGCTGAGACTACAGGCGCCCGCTACCATGCCTGGCTAATTATTTTGTATTTTTAGTAGAGACAGGGTTTCACTGTGTTAGCCAGGATGGTCTCGATCTCCTGACTTTGTGATCCGCCTGCCTCGGCCTCCCAAAGTGCTGGGATTGCAGGCGTGAGCCACCGCGCCCGGCAGACACTGTTGGTTTAAGAAGAGACAGCCTTGAGCATAGGAAGCAGGAAATGTATGTTTATGAACCTGCTCTCCCACCTCCTTCCCTTAAATAAGAATTGTTGCTGGGAACAGAGAAAAGGATAGAAAAGACTATCCTGTATTAGACAGACAAACCCATCAAGCTAAGCAAATCTCATCAAATGCAAAGCTCTAGGGCATGAGATTCCTTGGAAGAGAGTTCCAAGGATCACCAAACTTTACCTAGAGCTTTTCCTAACTCTCTTCCAAGGAATAGCCATGAGGCACATCACTGTGATGGGGAGGGTGTGGTTGAAAATGTCCAGTTTGCTCAGTTCCTACTGAGTCGATTTCCAATGATAATGTGGTAGTCTGGTCCAGACTTTTTTTTTTTTATGATATCATTTATATAAATATCTGGAATAGACTCTGCCTCAAAAAACAAACAAACAAGTCTTTGCTATTCACAATAACAAATATTCACAATAGCAAAGACTTGTTTGTTTGTTTTTTGAGGCAGAGTCTCACTCTGTTACCCAGGCTGGAGTGCAGTGGCACAATCTCAGCTCACTGCAACCTCCGCCTCCTGGGTTCAAGCAATTCTCCTGCCCCAGCCTCCCTCCCAAGTAGCTGGGATTACAGGCACCTGCTACCATGCCTGGCTAATTTTTTGTATTTTTAGTAGAGATGCGGTTTCACCATGTTGGCTGGTCTCGAACTCCTGACCTCAAGTGAACCGCTCACTTCGACCTCCTTACCGTGTCTTTATTTCCCTCCTACTGCATGTTTTACTAGAGAGTCCTCAAGCCATTGCTGATCCACCATCACCCAACCCAAGTCAGGACATTTTCCTCCTGCTTACTTCATTTTCTTGGCAGCATTGTTGATAAGTGGTTACATTTAGTATCTGATAAAGACAGGAGGACAAACTGTTCTTTGAAAAGGACTCAATAATATATTTTCACTGCAGTATTATAAGCAGCTCAAATAATACATGAGTACACGGAGTAAGATTGGCAGGTCGTATTTTACACATCTCAATTCAGTCTCCCGTCTCTGAGCTGCCATCAGTGTGGGAAGACAACCTTCTAGCCACATTTCTGTGCATTTCTGTACCTGTCTGCTAGTATCTAATGACGCATATTAATGAAAGTCTATTGGATACTGATGTCTTTTGATTCTCCCATCAATCCACTGTTTAGACACTGCAGGTGTCTCTCCTTCATTTCACAGAGGTCAATAACCTGGCCAACATGTCAGAGTTAGCTGGATTCCAAGTTCGTCTTATTTCCAAGCTTACGAGCTTAAGTTCTAGGTCCTTCTTTAGTTACTCTGATACTTCCTAATCTAGTAGCTGATTTAGGAATGATGTAGGCTGACTGCAGAATAATTGTTTTAAAAGATAGAAAAATTGGACGATGCCAGAAAAGATCCAGAGAAAGCCATTTTGATTTTGGATTTTTAGTCCCATTAGGACTAACTTATACGGGGTGTTAGACTCCGTCTTGGATAGAGAAGAAAGGAAATTTTGCATGGTAGGTTCTGATGTTGACGGTTGAGTTCAGGACTTCCGGCATGGCCCATAGGTGAGAGAATAATTCAGACCTTCCAGCACTGGGAGTTTGCATTTAAATTCTATGAGGAAGTAAAAACATGTTAAAAGTTAAAGCCAAAACGTGAACATAAACCATACACATCAAAAGCCAAAAAGCTTAGGGTTGGAAAGCTGAAAAGCTGTGAGAAGGCAGAATGGGAATGGTTGGGGCTGGGCTTCTTGGTAGGTGGCTGGGCTCTCGGAACTCCTTGGGCCTTCACTGGTGGTCCCATCTACTCCCAATGCTTGACTTTAGTGGTAACAGAATTCCAGTAAGGATACAAGTCTGGTTTTAACTCGCGCCCACACCGTTAAAAACTATCGCTTGTCAGAAGAGAATAGAGCTCAGAGCAAGGCCTTTCCCAAGGTGGTGGTGAAAACTGCCCCTCCCCTACAGGAACTGTGGGTTTAACCCAGCTGCCTCATCAACGTACATTTCACAGATTTCCAAATGGAGCACAGATGAGGTGGAGGTAGGAGATGTTTGCAGAGTGAAAATGACGATTATGGCTATTTTATAACTTGTAGCAACCACAATTTATTCAAATAATAATGTAATGATTGGTTTAATTACGCCTTTAAAGAAGTTAAATGTTTTTAGTTTTTCATTTGGTAAAGTTTAGGTATTTATTTTTTGAGACAGGGTCTTATTCCTGTTGCCCAGGCTGGAGTGCAGGGGCACGATCATGCCTCCCTCCAGCCTTGACCTTCTGGACTCAAGAAATTCTCCCACCTCAGCCTCCCAAGTAACTGGGACCACAGTTGCATTCCACCATACCTGGCTAATTTTTTGTATGTTTAGTAGAGACGGGGTTTCGCCACGTTGCCCAGGCTGGTGTTGAACTTCTGGACTCAAGCGATCCGCCCACCTCAGCCTCCCAAAGTGCTGGGATTACAGGTATGAGCCACTGTGCTGGGCCAGAAATTAAATTTATTTCACATTTGAAGGGTCTAGCCTAGGGTCCATCAGTCAAAGGTTTGGGGAAGAAACCCGGCTTTATTTTTTTCTTCCAGTTTCACATACATAATTCTATTTAACATTAAACATACTATGACTTTCATTCTAATTTAACTTCCTCACAGCAGACACCTCTGTACTTAGTGTGGATGTTCGAGGTTATCCAAACAATATGGCATCTCAATGGGTTATCCTGATAGGTTCCAAAGAACTCTCCTCTAAGTCTTGGCTCTGTTCCTGAGAGCAGTAGCCTCGGGGTCTTCAATCCTGGATGCATTTAAAAATCATCTGGACAGCTTGATTCACTGGTTTGGAGTAGGGACTGGGAGTAAGTAGTTTTCAAATGCTCCCCGGAAGAGGTAGCTAGAGCCAGGAAACAGATTGTTAGATAAGTAGAAATTCTTAAGTCATATTATTAATATGTATTGGTGTTTAAAGGAATATGGCATGGTCCTTTTGTGATGCAAATAGCCTGTTTCCAGCATTCTAATTTTTTTATTTGGAAGTCTGAATATGTACACAGTAATGTATTGCTTAATGATGGGGCTATGTCTCAAGAAATGCATTGTTAGGTGATTTCATGGTTGTGTAAGTACATCACAGAGTGTACTTACACAAACCGAGGTGGTGCAGTCTGCTACACACCTAGGCTGTATGATACAGCCTGTTGTTCCTAGACTGCAAACCTATACAGCATGTTACAGTATTGAATTCTGTAGGCAATTGGAACACAATCGCATGTATTCGCATGTCTGAAAATAGAAAAGCTAAGTAAGACTATTTATTATAATCTTTCAAGGACCACTGTTGGATATGCAGTCCATTGTTGATGGAAACGTTGTGATATGCATGACTGTCTCTAATATTGCGTGCAAGTGTGTGTATGAATAATACATAATAACACAACTGCACAGGCTTCATTACATAAGAAACTTCCCTTAGTCCACTTAGAAGATATCTGACCCCAGCACTGACAGTAAGTCTTCATTTATGCCCATTAAGGGCCCTATAATCTTGCAAAAGTGATCACATAATATTTATTCATATTGACATTTAATACACAAGTGAGAAACACCTACAAATTCCATGAGTTTTCAGAAGCGTTATTTTCCTATCATAGTACTTTTGGTGGCATATTTTTTTTTTTAACTTTTTCTTATGGACATTGTAAAAATGCATGGGAAAGTAGAGAAAATGGTATACTCAGTCCCCATTTTCTAAACATCCAGCTTCAACAGTGATCAACATTTTGCCCATCTGGTGTTTTGTCTTTTCTTCTTCCTTTATCTTCCCATAGAGACAAACATAACTCCATAATTCTTTCACTTTCTTTGAAAAATTTTGTAATTGTTTAATATTACACTGCCAACAACCCTCACTCATCTCTTGATTGAAGAGGCAGGCTGTAATTCCATCTCTGGTTTG